AGCTTCAATTGTCAGTGTGGCCAGCCAATTAAAAAAATGTGTAGAAACTGTCCACTAAACAAAATAAAGAAGCCATAGATACAAATCTTTTTTTTTTTAATGAAAAACTTACTGTTACAGAATTTTCAGGAAACTTAACTACAATATATTATCCACAAACTATCTAATGAAAAACATACAAGAAGCTACAAAAGGAACCACTGGGAATTCTGTCAACCATTTATCAAAAAGGCAATGGCTACAAGTATTACTGTTCATTGGCTTTTGTTCTCAAAAGAAAACTTCCATGGTGCATTTTGGCCTCTGAATGTTTTACAACAATAAATCCAGTGGTATCTTGGCGTAGCAGAGCTCCCAAACGTCATCAAACACCATGGATAAAGGTACTGGAGACAGAGTACTAGAGGAATTCACTGACTTTCAAAATGATGAGTCCTGTAATTCCAGGGTGATGAAGCACTCTCACATGTGCATAAAAGGTAACTAGCAGCCAACAGTATCAAATCTCTTGGAATTTTCTAGATATATTCCTACTGTAAGCAGGTCTACCCAAAGTATGTTGATGGACAACGCAAAAAGTCAAAATCTCTGTGAAACTCAGCAGGTACATGCACAGTAAAAATACTGACAATGAAATGGGATGTTCCAGATGGGTAGATAAACTTTTTGTAGAGTTTGTGAAGTGCTTTGAATAGGTAATAGTCTATGAAAGTGCAAAGAATGGTTTCTACCACTTCACTATCCACCAGTCTAGACCTGGGAGCATGTGGGTAGAGGTCTCTGATGGAGAATGTCAACGAAGGTACCATGTTGTGTAACAATATGCCAACTAGCTGCAATGGGAGATATAGAACTCCAGCCTGTGGTCCCTAGTGCGACCATAAATCGTAGTGTATCCTTGGCAGCAGATGCATAGGTCAGTCGTGCTGAATAAACATGCCTGAAACAGGTGGGTATATACTTGACACGGCTCAGCTATGCCTGCACTGCCCCTAGCCATGCTGCACTGCAATTTATACTTGCACTCACTCAACAGTAGCTAACAGGAGTAGGTGCACACAAGCAAAGGAACCACATCCCTTGTTCACAATGTAGACAAAGCCTAAATAGGAGTTCCAAAGTGACTGTGTCCCCAGTTTACACTAGCCAAGAAAATTGCTAGTTTAAAAAAAAATCATTCAGTTGGCATCCTTGTTCTCCAAATCCGGCATCTAAATGCCATCATTTTAATGTCAGTGGGGACGAAGCTTAAGTAACTTTAATTTTAAGCTTCATGGAGAAGCAGTTCAGTATAGTAGAAATAATCCCAGCTATTCTACTTTACAGGCTACCAAGTGCCACGCTTTGTAGTATCAGTGCTTTTTTGAAAAGGAAAGCATCCAGGATAAGAGACTCAAAAGCAATCCCACAAGTGCTAACGTCTCAGAGAAAAGTGGTCCTCTGGCACAGCAGGCATGGAACTGAAGCAGAAGAAATAATCTGCTCATAGAGCCCTGAGATTCAGGACTGCCTGGTGTGCCTGATAGTCACATCCTCTATTTCTGGCATCAGCCCCTGATGCATTAAAATTAAGAATGCTGTGATGCCAAGGAGTTCTGAATCTTAGCAGCTCTCTTGAATTAAGTAAGTTCACTTCTTAGCAGCCCCACCTTTGCATAAGGATTAAATGTGTTATTTTGAGGAGATCCTCCCTTGAATTTGCCATTGCACACAGGCTGTCCCTGCCGCGTGAAAAAAGCACAGATTTATCTCGGAGGCAGATAAATGCAAGTTCTGTTTTGGTCACATTTTGCTCTTCTTGCAGTCTCTCTAATTGACTTAATGGCTGTTCAGGCAGAATAAAAAAAATCACAACACATCCATTTCCAGTCTCTCTTACAAGTGGACATGCAGGGTTCTCTCAGGTTAGTCATACTGAAGATAGCCAGTAGCAAATAAGCATCACCTGGGAATCTCAGGACAGTGCAAGCTGTGACACTGCACAAATCCAGCACTTGTACAGGCATCCTTTTTAGCACTCATTATTTTAAAGACAAGAAGTTCTTGTCCAGAGCTTAAGAAGTGTGTGATTCAACTTTGCTAGTTAACTTTGGTGTTATATGAAATCTAGCTTTTAATATCACAGCCAGGAAAGACAGATCATCTCCAGAAGATGAAGACATCCTGGCTATGTCTACACTCGCGGCTTCTTGCGCAAGTAATATGCAAATGAGGCTAAGTGTGGAATATTGCTAAGCCTCATTTGCATACCTAATGAGCCACCATTTTTTCAGAAGAGGCTCTTGCCCAAGAAGGAGTGTCTACATTGCTCTTGTGCAAGAAAAAATGCGGTTACACCTATTACTTTTCAGAAGAACGGCGTTGCGCAAGAGGGTTTTTCTTGCGCACGAAGGGGCAGTGTAGACGCTCCTCCTTGCGCAAGAGCCTCTTCTGAAAAAAATGGTGGCTCATTAGGTATGCAAATGAGGCTCAGCAATATTCCAATCTTAGCCTCATTTGCATATTACCAGCGCAAGAAGCCACGAGTGTAGACATAGCCTATGAATGTTGCCCAAGTAGCGCAAGAAAAACCCTCTTGCGCAACGCCGTTCTTCTGAAAAGTAATAGGTGTAACCGCATTTTTTCTTGCGCAAGAGCAATGTAGACACTCCTTCTTGCGCAAGAGCCTCTTCTGAAAAAATGGTGGCTCATTAGGTATGCAAATGAGGCTTAGCAATATTCCACACTTAGCCTCATTTGCATATTACTCATGCAAGAAGCCACAGGTGTAGACATAGCCCCCAAGTTCTCATCATTTGGCTGATCAGAGCTTGGGAACCCTGTTGATTAGTTTTCAAATTACAGCACACGCCTTCATTGGATTATCAGGAGCAGAGAGGACCTAACCGTCCTCTAACTGCAGTTCCTGCTTTGAGGCCGGAAGAACGAGGGAAAGGATGAAAAGTGAGAATGCGTGACTTCTCCTTGCACAAAGGGTGGGAGCCATTCTAGCCATTCTAGCTCGCTGACTTCTCCAGAGGCTGAAACCCATGCATCCCCTTGGGAGGTAGTTCCCCCTTCCCACACAGGCTCTTCCACATGCATTCTGGGAATTGTGCCACAAGTAGAGGAGCCTGCAGCCTGAGAGCGATTCAGTGATTGCAGTGGTGGAGCTAGGAGACAATAGGTGCAGCCCCGCTGTCTGTGTCCTGCTGAGACTGCCCTGCCTGACATACCCTGGGGCAGATGCTCAAGGGCCTAGGAGCAGCAGGGTGCTCCCCTTCCCAGGATGGGTATTCACCAAAATACTGTTTTTCAGAAAAGAGGAGAATGCACATGGAACGTGGATCTCTGGTAGGGGATTGCAGCCCAGGAAACTGCTGCGCTAGTCTACCTCCTGCCAGCTCAAGATTAACCAAGTATCTCCAGGATGAGACATCTGGAGTTTCATAGTCTCACTGATTTGACAGGCCATTTTTCCTGATTATAAATCTGGAATTCATACTTTTGATTAATCCCTCAATCTGATTTTATTGCTCTAATCTTTAAGATGCTACTAGTCTATTTGTTTTGCCTGAATACTCTGGTTTGCCTGAATCTGAACACAGATGCAGTTTTCAAGAAATGAAGGGACAAATCATTGCTCCTGTTTGTGATGCCTCTCTACGAACACTATTTGTTTTTGAGTATTTGTTTTATTTTAAACTGGGCAGAAGGAATCTTGCATCACACCATCAAGATGGCAGAAAGCTTGGGGACTCGTGTATATGCAAAGTTCTGGAAGGTTTCTTCAATATAACTATGCAAAGATCAGCAATTATAAAATGAGTGCACAGTTTTTCATAGGGAAACCACATAGAATCTGGTTCACACGAACTGCCCTAGGACAATTAACTTGTCAAAAGTGTGTACACTTTCCAAGTGGTTTGGAACCAAAATTTGGGATTAAGAGCACATCAGATAATTCAACAACCAGCTGAGTAAGAAGAATGTGTGGTCATATGTCACTTGGTTCCACCAACAGAATAAGTCTTCTCCTACAGACTCTCCCCTACCCCCACTTTTTAGATGAGTCAGGGTATCTGATCACATAGTTAGAAGCATCCTATCATCTTAGAAAAGCATTCCATTGAATTGGAAGAATCAACTTTCTTTCCCTGATGGAGAAGCTGAACAAGTTAAACCATGGGGAGCAAAAAAGGAAAAATAGAAAGACTCCAAAACTTAACCATGGATGCCTGAGGCAAGACCTTGATAAAAATCTAATGAGTGCAGCTAATTTGGGAACAAGCAAGGAGCTAATGTATGAGAAAGAAATGTGGAGGAAGAAACAAGATTACTTGTCTAAAGTTTACCATAAACAGGGGGAAAGGATAGAGCACTGGGAAATGGCTCAGGTTCTATTCCCAGCTGTCATTAATTTGGCCACATCATTTTACTTGTGTGTGCTCATTTGTACAATAGGAATGACTTCTGGCCGTTTTTCTAAAGCACTTGGAACCCTTTTCATCCACAAAAGGGAATATAAATGCTATCCCAGTCCCCTTCAGATTCTTGATTTGATGCAAGGAACTTGGCAAAACAAAGAAAAAAACCCCTTGATTAATTTGCTTAAAGACTATTTCTAATTGTGCTACCTGCTGAAACTGTGCTATTAGACTGGCTTCACACAACGAAGCAGGTAGACTACATTAACAGTATTTGAATGCAACACTAGATTCGCACTGAATATATTTGGTCCATTTCTTCAAGTTCCAATTCTCCAATATGCTGTTAAAAAAAGCATAGCCATATACAGTCACTAAGAAACAACAATTCTTCTGTACTTTTGGAGATATAGTAAAAGAAAAGCTAGAAGAGCGCAAACGAAAAATCAAAATTTAGGGTGGAAGTTACATAAACCTTACTGCTATTGGCTGCTGTTGATCTTTCAAGGGAAAGTGACCCATCACTCTTGATTAGTGGACTTAAATTATAGAAGAAAATATTTAACATAAGCAAACAAAATACAATTGTATAAATTGGGGTTTTCAGAATTTTATTTATACTATTAACTAGAGAAAAAGCATACATATTGTAGCTGTCATACAGTCAATACATCTGCAAGTTTTTCTACTTTAATTCTCTATACAAAGTCATTGCCAATTGATGAGGTCATTGATGGCATTGGGCTTAACGTAACCAAGAGGTATAAAAACAAGTTTGTCATCTTGCCCTGAGTGGAAATGGTGAACAGATACAAAAACTGGATCCTAAATACTTGATGTCATTGTATACATGATTTAATGGCATATGCAAGTTATCCCTTTTCAAATTAAGTAAAAACAGTCAAGTTACCCATTTTAGACAAATATCAAGCCTGACTTTCTTTGTATTTAGATCACAGAAGTCAGCAGTAGTTATGAAAATATGTTCCTGCCATTAGATATTCATCATTTAACTGACAATTTTACAGACTGGATATTTTACGTTTTATTTAAACTGAGTGCCAGCACTGAAAGTATCCATTCTTTTTAGTGTTTTAAAAATTGTGTGCCTATATAAACAAAAATAAGACGTCTTTTAAAAAAATAGTAATGGAAAAGAAACATTTCTTTTTCCAGACTATTTTTAATTACCAACAACATACTTTTCATTTTTGGCAGTCTGTACCCTTCAACCTAGAAAACCACATTAAGATATTCATCAAGCTAAAGAAATCTCCCCTAACAACTTGTTCCCTAAAGAACTAAATGTAAGATTTCTGTAACTTTAAAGTTGTTTTAAGGTAAGTGTTTATGATGATTAGAAGCAATTTTTAAATATAAATATATATAATATATATATATTCTGCATACAAAAGGCTCGTGAGGCTTATCAGGAAGTTGCCAGTACTGTGTCCGATTCCTTTTAAAGCATCCATTTGGGCTTTAATTTAAGCCCTGAGCCATGTGTTATGACAGTAAAGTTCTAAAAAAGTAACAGAAATCCAATTTCTGCATGTTCAGTTTCTTTCTGCTAAGAGCAAGAGGCAAACACATTTTTAAAACCTGGTTTTAAAAGATTAAGCAGAATAAAAGTAAGAGATATCTTCAGGTTATAAACAGAATTGTATTTTACAATCCATCATCCCAACAATGTAACGGCCCACAGCAGTGCATGGAGGGATCTCAGTCCAGAGGTTGCGGATCTGCAATAGGCATGGTATGAAGTACTTCATCTAGAAGCTGGAGGGCACGGTGTAAATGAATTTCAATCCAACAGGGAGTTTCTTTGATGCTCTGTCTTGGGTAATCAGGTCCCCAACCTTTCACAAAACTCATCCTGAGTATGCACAAGCGACGAAGATCGTCTACACCGATTCCAGCAGCCGCTGACAAACCTAAGTAAGAGATTTTGAGTAAGTATTCATGTGCTTTTGTCTAAGACATGACATTTTGCCATGCCAGTTCCATGCAACACTGAACCATTTGCTCAGCTGTTCCTACATGAATAGTTCTTTCTCCCTTTTCACAAACCATGCCTATTAACATTGCTAGATTTGTCCAACAGATACATAGATTTTGCAACCCTCAATTTGATTTATGTGGCTTCTAAACCTCTATAAGTTTTCAGATATAGCTAATTAGCCTGAAAGCAATTATGTGATGTAAGCCAGTATTAAAAGCCCATTTTAGAAAGCTAAAGATATTATGTGCTGAAAGAAATTATGATGCCTTATGAATATAAAATATTGACAGTTCAACATATCACTGTGGCAGACTAAGTCAAAATCGCCCAAAAGACACAAATCCAAATTAAAGAAAAGCAAGCAAAAAGTACTTCCAAATCTGTGTATGTAGTTTATCCAGGTGCACCTTCTATGTACAAGCATACGTTTGTGGCCAATTTCATATTTTCACAGCATGATTACCTAAAACGACTGAACAAGTGGGGTTGTACAACCTCCAACATCTACTGCAGTTTACTTGCTGCCATGTGATTTGTAGAAAGGGATCTAAAGCCATAATTGTAATTTAAAATGTGTTATTAATGAGAACACTTTGTATTTCCATTTTAAACCTTCATTTCAGTAAATTTAGTTTTGCAATAAACATTTCCCAAACAGTGTAAAGTTGACATATACTATGATCGAATAAAATTTTGTTTTGTTTTAAAGCAGATAAAATATACACCATATTTAAAAAAAACAAAAACAAAACAAAAACTTAACCAAATTGTTTTCTCCTCCCCCCCACCCCCATGTTTAATAAAAAGATAAATGTGGCAAGCAATCATTTAAATAAGGCTGGTGCTTTCTGATAATTAACAACTTTAATTATTTTGGCCACAACATTTTCAATGTTTATGAAATGCCATGAAATATCTTACTTGCCAACAGCAAGATGGAAGTTATAAGTGCTTAGCATTTTCAAAAGTTTGGCTACTTATTTAGGTGCCTAAATATGGACTTAGGAGTCTAAAACTTAGGCACCAATTTAAAAAAAAAATCCTCTTAGCAAAAATCAGGCAAGTTCAGTAGCACATCTCAGCATCTCCCCCAGAACAAGCTTCTAACTAAGCTGTTTCCTCTACGCTTTAGTGATAGGCCCCAGTCTTGGTCTCTCTTTCACACACACAATCCGTATTTTCTGCAGCTGGCTAGTACATTTAATTCTCACTGGGAAATTTTTAAAGCTGTTTTAGGAGGAGGAGGAGGAGGAGGAGATACAACTTCATTTAGAGGAACATAGTTACACTGATTAACTTTTGTGCCTTGGAAGTACTGTACTTTGTCACATTCCTTTTAGAAAGACAAATTCTTCAGTCACATTCACACCAAAATTGAGAGAGAGAGAGAGAGAGACAGCGAGCTTCATTAGCATGGAAGCTACAGAAATAGGTGATTTACTTGATAAATAAGGGAAAGTCTGAAATGTGAATAAGTATAGCTATAAAATAGTCCTCATTCACTCAAGGGTGTGTTTCCTTAAAAAGAGCAAAGTATTTACTTACTGATAGCTGGGGCTATTCCACCTACTGATCCTGGTCCAGGGATGTTTCCAGCTACTGCTGCAGCTTGGGCGGCAGCTGCAGCTTGTGCTGTGGCAGCCTGCTGTTGCATCTGACGATGACATTGGCGTAAATCAAATACCTTTTAAAAAATATATAAGTCCTGCATTAC